AAAATGTTCTATGGGACGTCTCTACTGAACGTTTTCGTTTTTCCCACAATTAGAAGTTACCAGTATTAAACACATTGGTGTTATCAAATGTAAAACATATAATTAATAAATGGGTGAAAATCGTTTGTGTCCATAATGCGCAGCATTAATACCCACATGACAGCTCATTGTTACTTTGTAATTCTACTCCACTACAATTCAGAGGTTAACCTGGTATTTTTACTCCACTGCATTTATTTGAGTTACTTTGCAGATTCTGATTAATTATGTGAAATATAAACAACCCTTAAATCAGACTTTAGTTACACCTGAGTAAAATTCAGGTAAGGTGATTGTCAAGTGCCAACAATCAGGAGAGATATTTGATAGTTGGTGCTTGAGAAGACTAAACATGTATCTGCAATTGACATGAATGGAAACGAGTAATAAAGTATATTCATTACTCGTTATTCTCCACTAATAGTTAATTAAAGACTGTATATTATGGCTATTTTTCACATCCCTTTCAAGATTTTCTAAGGTTTATTGACATATCATATACACAACTACGGTGTAGTTATGCAATGAATGAAACACTTGGGTCACAGGTTCCTCAACAGTGCATTACAAGACATCTATCAATATGTGTGTACCTCCACCATTAAACTGTCATATTCTGCACATTTCTTATTCTATCTACATACATAAGAGTATAATTCATATGTATAATATCAGTTAAAATAAGTGCTTCAACATAGTTAACATTGCAGGAAAGCAATATATTAGACGTTAAGTACTTTGTCAGGCTTAATATTTATCTGTAGATAGATACCCCCAAAGTTTTTTTCTTATTTAAAAGAAGACCTTAATCTGTTATTTAATGTTTAAATAAAGGTTCATTCGTTTTTCTGTGTTGCACCTCCTCCTATTAATATCTTTGTACATGCTGCACTAAACTGTTTTATTGTAGAGATCACTTATAGTATCTTCTTGATTTTTTATATTCTATATTTATACTTTCCCCCTATGAAAGTATGTACTCTTAATATTTAATCAAATAAAACACAATAATTCAATAACGTGCTTTAACCACTAGGCGGTGCACACAAGGTACACACAGCCATAATAACTTTGTATTATTAGTGTAGGACACTTTTGTTTTCGTACAACATCTGAAAATGTGTAGTTTTATGCATGCTTTCACATAATTTTACAGCATATTGCTATACTATTTCAGACTCAGTATTTACATTCTTACATTCAAAGAAAATCAGTAATATCTTTAAAAACTACAGTCCTTTTATATCAGCTGTGCACCGTTATGGTGTAGATATAACCTATCTGTGAATTAGATCAAATATAAAAGTCAGCCGAATTAGTGTTGATACTGCAAGGAGACGTATTGTGTGAAGAGAAATTGTAGATGTTGTTTAATTGTTGAATATATTTATGATCCACATCAAGTATTCAGTTTCGGCGGCATTTTCTCAGTTTTTCCAAAGGTCTTCTCATCAGGGCTCTATAAATAAAGAACTACGGCAGATCTGTAATATACAATGCAGCCGAACCGTGTATTACAATGCCGTTATGTGATGACTTTCAAAGAGAAAAGCAAGAGCGCTCGGAATTAAGTATTATTTTATTCTTTTAAAATGTTTTCCGGATTTCATATCATATAAACACCAAATCCCAGCATGCATTGTGGCTAAAACATCCAATAAGCGAGCTTAAAACCATAGCTGAGGATCTTGGGTAATCGCTCGAAATGTCTACGTCTGTTTCCGGTTATTTTTATTTTGAAATTCAGTTCCTGACAGACGCCAAAAAAGCCCGAGATTATGGAATTAAACCAATAAATAAAAGCAAGGATAATTGTGTGTTATTGGTGAGTAAATACCAGTGTGTTATTTTGAAAAGAATATCGAATTAGAAGGAAAAAAATATTTAAAAATACAGATTTCCGTATTCTGAGGCTCTGAGCCCCATTTATTTTCCTCACAGACGGCAACAAAAGTCCGAAATTATACGATTTCAAATAAAAGCAATAACTGTGGCTTGATATTGAGTAAGAACATGTTTTTATGAACCACACAGCTTCCGGTCTTCCTCGACCCGACCGGAGAAAAAGACGTGCTGCAGGCAGTAGAAATACATTGCTTTTAAAATCGTGCTGTGCAACACGAAAAAAAGGGGCAAATCGTGTTGGTGAACACGAATCAATAGATTAAAAATCGTGTTGGTGAACACGAAATGCCGTGAGACTGGGTTGGTATCTCATACGTGGTTTGGTAATAGGTACAGACATATTATTCAAATTAGACTGCACATGCACTCTTATTTAGTACCTGATTCATTGGCAGTATTTTTAGTCTTGTGGATACAATTATTTCTTTGCATTTAGGTTATCCATTTTTTTTTCTTTTAGCTTAGTATTTTCTGGTTACTGATAAATATGCTGCTCAATAAAAGCCTTAGGAGTTTAAGGTGTGTTGCGATTTTTGTATGTGTGACTCCATATGTAATGCTTTTATACTCTTGTTGTATATATATATATGTTTATAAGCAAACCAGGTTTTCCATGCAACTTTTTCAACAAAAGCAATGTTTTGCGTGTTGCGTGCATTACCTGTAGTGCGCTCCTTCACAATTACATTTTGTTTGTCACACAATTTTGCCTTTAGAAAGGTCAAGTCTACTGAGGAATTACAAAGCATGTTTTTACTTGAATTTTGTATTGCTAATAAGATTTTTCTTAACCCCAAATGTCTGATAGAATACAATTATGAAATTATGACGTTTTTGTCAGACAATGATGGGTTAGTAGAAACACAGGATGACAAGGCCTTATAGCATTTCCAGAGAACTTGATATTATAAGAACTAATTCAAGTAAAACCCAATTTCCTCCTATACTCTATCTGATTGTATAGCGATAGTTCCAGTGAGTGAGTTCAAATGACGTCATACAGATGGTCCGTTCAATTGGGAATAACAGGCGTTGCTTTTTAAAAGCTGTGCAATGGTAGGCGATTTGAAACAAAGTCTGTCCTTTGTCTGTCTTTGATGTGACACCCAGTGGACTTTTATAATAAAACTAAAATCAATAGAAGGATGATATCAAAATGAGATAATGTAATATTAACACTAATTGTATTTTGCAAGATTAATTAAAAAAGTTATTGTGTGTTATGTGAACACTGATATGGCTTTGTGTACCCAAATTGACTCTCAAGTTGTGGGATATTGCTCTGCGAATTCATTCTTAAAGATCTGCATGGAGTCATAATCATATTTGATTAAGGAGGGACCCAGAGCTAATTTGATTAGGTTATTTAGAGGAATATGTGTTTGGTAATAAACATTTATTACGATGAAAAAGTTTACTTTAATAAGCGGGAGAAGCCCAGAGGACATGCAAGCTTAATTGTTAGATGTTAAATTGCGTTGTTGCGATGTTGCCAAGATAATGGGCAAGGAAAGGCCCTCAAGTCAAGGCAATTAACCAAACAGTGGTTTGATTGTTGTTAAATTGATTAGAAAATGTCTAAGTACTCCATTTGAAAATTAGCTATTGTTTCACGCAGGTTTAGACTGCAAGAGAATGCTGGGCTTAATGACACATACCCTGACTTAGAAGTGGGGAAAGTTGTTGCTCAGGTCAGAATATTGTGAGACGTTTTGCAGATATGAAAAACTAACACAAATGACGGTGAACAAAAGACATGGACATCCCAGACAGAGCCTTTCATGCATAATGCCGGATGAATATGACACATTTGTTTTGTTGATGTGAAATATCAGCTTGGACAACACAAAGTGTGCACGGAGACAGAGGTTTGTTTTTCTATGTTTCATAGCTTTATCCCATAACTGTTGATCAGCTGTTGCAGACAAAACTAGTGATAGATATGGCAGTTTAAATGTCGGCTCAGTGTTGCCCACAGCGACAGCAGATGAAGATTCACAGAGAGAGGTGCAGGTTAGAGCCAATCTGTTTGCTCGCCCCAGCATCAGTAGTTTCCTGATTAGAATAGTGGAGAAATCTGCGGCTAGAGGCAGGCTTTATGGCCATCACCACCCCACATCTCCCTACTCATTAGTGCTTCACAGCCTAGCGCCACAGCATATGGCGGTGCTGCTGCTGCTTCCCATTTGAGGTGTGTTTGAAATGGCTGTCCCTTGCAGAGCCACAAGCCTTTGGCAGTAGCCTGTCTTATTGTGTCTCAGATGAAGATAAACATCTGTAGTAAAGGGAACTTGTGGTTTTCATTTTGTTATATGAGCTATTTGTAACATTTTGTGAGGACGCAAAGGATTGCAAACACACAAAGATAATTGAGAAGTTGGGAGTTATCTTTGAGAGCAGTTTATATTAACAATTAGTGAACATGAATGATTCTTTTGGACCACCTGCACTACAAGAGATGCTCTTTAGAACACACAGAGATAACATTACCCTTTGGTGGCCAACCATGCGAGACTGTAACATATTGCCCTGCTAATGTGTATTAATCTTGGGATACACAAAACGATATCCAAACAGCACTTACTTGCATGTTTCCAATGGGTTCTCTGAACAGGTGTGTTTTCTCATTATGTCTCTGCGATTTAAGGTACTTCCTGATATGTCTTTTTTTATGTATCTGTTTGGTTTGTGTCTTCAAGTGTGTGTGCTTGGGATGTTCACTCTCACACAAGATGTTACATTCATTTGAACACATCATTTGAGATCATCAAGTATTATCCTAACTATTCTTCCACATGTACAGTGTCCAGGATATGCTCATTAAACAACTAAAACACATGTATCCTGTGGTTTCAGGATATTTATCGCATTGTCCTTATGCCTCTCTGGTGTATACAATTTCATTTGTCAGTCGGAAACTTAATTGGTTATAAGAAAACGAGATACTATCCAAAGGATACTGTACATGTGCGCACACTTCCAATGGGATACATACTGTGCACTGTTGTCATTTTCTTTTGGATCTTGTTTTTCACACTTTGCCCTCCCTCCAACAGAACATACATATAAAAACATTGGCTGATGATATGGTAAGGTGCTCGGTTTAATTTTGCTGTGCCTAGTTTTGTTTTACATCATCTCATGTTTTGTCACTGCTGCATGGAACTTATAACTGAAATATATGGATGGATCAAATGTGCCAGTAGTAAATACAGTCAGTTTACTTTTTAAACCTAACATGAGACACTGATGATAGAATACATCTATGTACTTTAAAGTGTGACAGTTAATGTTACTTAGGCTTATCTTAAACCCTATCTTAAGTACTGTGGTAGTCCACCATACTGCTGTGTAACTAAAAGGTTATTTATCCTGGTGCTATTATTCAGCTCCACCATCGTCCTACGTCTTTCATAATGAACGGAAATCAACCCATCACATTTAGACTTGTATAAGAAGCTCATACATCATTCAGTGTGCAATTATCAGTTTCCGATTAGATGTTTCTGCCTGGAGCTTTTTTAATACCCTTTGAGAACAAATAGCTTTAACTTTGACACTTAGAAGAAGTTTATGCTGCTTTTGTGAGCAATGCACATAGTATGTTTGATCCATCCAGTAGTGTCTCAGCAAACTAATAGTAGTGACGTCATGTATGTCATCATATCATCTTTGTTTTTCCATTTCATTTATGTGTTCATTCATCCAGCACGTCAACTCCATTTCCGTTTTAATACCTTCGACTAACATTTACTTTTTGCATGAAGTTTATGTACTTTTTCTGCTTTTGTATTACACTTTATTATACACTGCGTTCATCAGTCTCAACATGATTAACAAACAAACTCAACTGAAGCTCACACTGATGTCATGATAGTGAATGTATGCTAAAACTATTCTAATAACATATGCATAAACCAGGTAATACTATGGGTATGATGGTAAGTAAAGTCCTGAAACAGTTTACTTTGTGAAATATAAATGTTCTTGTTTTCATGCCATCCCATTCTCGTGAAATCTCAGGAACACCTGGAGGGAGTTTCTTGAAATGTCTTGAAATGTGGCTCTCACCTTGCCTTGAAATCAAGGATAAGCTGATAACATGTTGGTGGTAAAAGGTCACTGTGATCTCACGTCCATCTCATTCTCAGGATGGCGTTTAGGGACTGTCTTAAAGTTTGGCAAGGTCACTGTGACCTACAAAAAACACAGATACACCTTCAGAGCTGCCCTTGCTATGTGAGGATTCTGTTAAATGTAAGTTGAGGTGAACAGTGTCCTCAAAAAACAAGAAGGACAAAAGCCCTCTGATGTGTGGGAACATTACATTTGAATTACTGGTAATTTAAACATCTGTTCTCACAGACAAAGCAACACACAGTGAGCCTTGGCTTCATATAAACTGGATTGTTAGCAGTGCCATATTTAACATTTCAAACACTGTTTTCTTTCAGCGTGACCGCATTACCAGTTTCCGGAAAACGGGGAATAAGAAGGAGAAGCCCCTTATACAGCACTCAACACAGCACTCCACAGATCCCCTCTTTACCCAGGTGGAAATGCCTGTTCCTCAGCCCCTTTTCGACGACCGCTCTATGAACCTCTCGGAGAAGGAGATCAATGACCTCTTCGAGAAGATGATGGTGAGCTTTGTGTTTCTTTTGTTGTGTTTCCTCTGCACATGGTCATCTCTAGCACTCCACAACAGCTTATTTACAGCTGCCACTGAATAGTCTGTAAAAAGCACAGCATTGTGAAATCGTAAATGCATCATAAATCTGTGCACAAAGGCGCACAACATCCATAACATTAATCTGCTACTTAGTAATTATTTATCTATTTCTCTAATATATCATTCCAATAACTTGCATATAGACACTTATTGCACTATTTCACTTTTTTAAACAATTTTTCTTTTGTATTTACTATTTACTTGCACTATATTTTTCTGTTTATCTGTGTTATTGTGTTGGAGAAGAACCTAAGATTTTCTTCGGCATAACTACACTGTAGCTATGTTCGTATGACTAAATAAAGAACCTTGAACAAGTAGAGACACAGAGTATATTTTGATGAATTTGATGAATTTGTGTATTTTGATGAAAAGAGTTGGACAAGGCTGAAAGTTAAGTGCTGAGACCAGAGGCGGGGACAAATCTTTTAGAATTTTGTCAAATGTGACTGTTATTTAGTTGAACTACGATCTAGGTAGGACATCAATTGCTTTGTATCCAATTGTATGATGGTAAACCACTGAGGTAACTTGGGTTTCTGAAATGCTGTAAATACTGAGCAGATTAAAAGCCCACAAATCAATAATACCAGGCATAGCAGCATAACTACAAAGCAGTGTACACAACTCCAATGGTGTCATGAAACAGTGCCCTCTCATGGGGTTACACAGGACGTCTTCTTTAGAGAATGAACCTGAGTCGCAGTACCCAATGTGTGAAATGCATTCAGAAATATCTTATTCAACAATTTTGAGGGATGTGAGAATAGTTTTACAAAATGATAGCAGCTATATTTGACTAAGAAATGTAAATTAGACTTATATGTGCAGTATTTATAGTGAAGAAGAATGCCTTTTGCATTCCAATGTTAAGTGCTTTTGAAGCAGAGTCCCACCTACATATTCCCTAGGCCACTGTCGAAAAGCTTCAAACTTTGAAATTCACTTCGCACTCATCTGTGGGGTCACATTTCTGTCACACTTGTGATTTTCCCCATTGAAATGCATTTTTGGCCTTATGTACTGAAAGATTGAAATCTAACAAAAAGCTTTCAGCTCATTTCTTTGAAGTGTGGAGCTGAATCACTCTGGCTTCATTGCTTAGGTTGTGGGTGGATAATGTCTGAATGTGTATGTGTGTGTGACACAGTGCTTGCCTTTTCTTTTCTTCTGATACAATGGTCTTTATTGCCAGGGCCAGAGAAATGCGACCGATGCTCCTGGTTTCCATCAGGCTGCTGCTCAGTGTTTTCTTGCCTGGGTGCTCATCCCTGTCACTCAGCTCACCTCTCAATTACTATGTTTGTGCTCACAGTAGCGTGACATTAAACCCAGGCTTAAATTTGCGCAGTGACAGACGACACAGAGGGCATGCTTGCTGCTCTGACATGTGACAGACCTTGACACTTGGTGTATGGAAGTATAATTACAGTAATAAAATCAAAATCAAATGGGAGTATTCACTGAAGTACTTTTGAAGCCGCTTGACCACTTGCTCTTATAGAAAGAAAAACTTTTCTGCTTTTTTTACAGCAAACACAGAAATTACACTGGTGGGTAGTTTCTGTTGACACTAGCAGTTTATCTTTCGTGTCTTTTTTTATCATCTCTATCTCTTTTTATGTTATTCACTCACGCACACACACAAACACACTTTAGATCTATTCGTCTTTACACCCATTCTGTTATTGATTGTTGTTTTTATGATGCTACATGGCCAAGCCTTAGATGTCTATCGTGCTTCAAATGAAGGGCTGACCCATGCCACATTAGTGAGACCACCTACTGTGCATTAACGAGTAGGAGAAAGTATTTTTCTCTGGAAAGGGGTTTTCACATTGCGCTTTGTGTCTCAAAGCCGAAATGGCACATATCCTATTAGTGAAAGGTCATCAAAGGAATCTGGGGAAATATAGAAAGAAACTAAATCAAAGATAACCAAATCACAACACTTTGTAGATGTTTTTAAGAGCGCACGTATATTCAGTGTGAACATGCATGACAGAAATGGCTCTCAGCACTGCCTTCAGAAGGGTATAGTGTGTGTCTTTACTCGGTGTGTCCTGTCGTTGGATTTCCCAAGATGTGCACGGATGGAATTCAGAGCCCCTCATCAAAATGCACAGCAGTAAATCCCCTGATTAAATGTCCGGTATTTGCATCTCACTAAAGAGGCAGCTGTGTTGCGGTAGCAGACTCCAATCCAAGAGGTGCAACCTATGAACACAGTAGCACACACACTAACATGTGATCTAATTTAATCAGCATCTAGTAAACTGTAGAACCTTTTTTTTTTACTTTACTCTCTATGCATCAACATTTATTTTAATTTCAGTTGTTACAACAAAATTAAAATGTATGAATTAACATGCTTATTCATAAATGTTTTAGAACATTTGACACACCACTCATAATAAATCCTCCTCTTAACCCTTAAATCCCCTCTCCTCCAAATCCATCATGTATCCTCTCCATCCCTAATGTTGAGAGTGTGTGTCGTTGAATATTGGCACTATAAGACATCTGTGCTGATGTAGCCATTAGCAGGCAGTGCATTAATGCCCAAATGATGCTTTTAGATGTCTATCAGCATTACATTCCCAAAGAGAATCACATCCTTCCTAAGAATTGATTAAATCGAAAGTGAGCTTCGTCTCATTGTGAAGAGAGGTGTACAGTATGTTATCGAGATGCTCGCATAGACATAAGACCAGTGAAAAAGAACGTCACATTGCAGAGCTGTTGTGGTTAGTTTGAGGTTTTATATTTCTCTCTATGCGACATTGTCAGGATGAACACTCCAATAATAAGCTCCAATGTGACCCCTCAGCAGTTACACTCTGCACCATGATATTAAAACAAGCCCACAGGAGAGTTACTCTGTCCACACACATGACTCAGACTTGAGGGTAGTGGAGAAAATAATCGATTGGTCACAGTTGAAGCAAAACATTTTTTTAACCTCTTCTACTTTGTTCGGATCCACTTTTCCCCATAGCGTGGACTTTTCATCTCTATTTCAGGATGAGACGTTATTTGATGCTAGGCATTAATTGCACTTTTCTGTGATTCAAAGCCTGTGGCGATCTTGGTTTGCAGCCACATCGCATCACAGGATGTTAGGACTTTTACCCATCTCCATTTTGTTCCTGCAGGGTAGTCCCTAGGTAGAAAGACATTGGCACACTGTATATTTAGTTGTTTTGGCTCTGTACCCAAACATCTCAGAGTTAAAACAAAACAATCCATATGATGTCTTTTTTTAAAGACCATGTGGGAATATTGTAGAACTTCTATACATTGTCTCCCAATTGTAGGGCAACGTGAAGTGAAATCCACTTTTTTAAATATTTGTTGCCAATCCTTATCATGTGGGACTTCAGCATGCTTTATTGTAGTGATGCGCTACCAGGCCTGTCATGCAGCCGTCTTTTAATAATTGCTTGTTTTGGGGCTGGTCTTTAGTGATTGGAACACCTGCTCAATTAGATTGGAGTTTGCTGTCTTGGCTTTCGCTGTATTAAGGATGAATGTGTGTCCCAAAACACAGTGGGATGTATACTTAAATACTTCAAAATACTTAAATGTATACTTTTTTCATTTTGAATCAAATGTGTGTAATGTAAATTAAGATCATTTATTCATTCATTCATTCATTAATTGAGCACACAAATGTATTTGTTACTGTCCAATATATTTGATTGTTTTTGTTATTTATTTCCATTTGAATATAGAGCACGGACAGGGCGTGTCTGATACAGAGGCACAGGCACGTTACTATTATCATTTTCATATTGTTTTAAGGTGGAGGCTATTGGTTGTAAAATGAGCTTGCTTAAGGAACAGCAACTTGTTAATCTCAACTATTTTATGAGGTTTAAAAATGAATATAAAAAAAGAGCCAACTGGTTTCTGAATTAGATTATTTTGGCATAAGCAAGACAAGCAGACTGATTAGCTTCCCAGACCGACATGAGACAACAAGATCCGAAAAATGTCTTGGTAACTCCATTGGCATCCATGCTCAAATGCTATCATTTCAGTTACGCTGGAAGAATAGTCGAAGATATCCTGGGACTCTTTTCATGTAGCCTGTGAGGGTATAATTAATAAAAGAGCATTAATCATTTTGGAGACTTAACGTGGAGGGCTCATTCCTCGAGTTTGCGCCCTGACAAGCGTCCCGCAGGCCCACTAGTCCCCCCCTCCTACGACATACTCACCCCGCCACATAATGCCTCGTTTATTGAATGCCAATTAAGCAGATAAATTAGCAGGGTTCAAAGATTAATTAAAAAACCTGCTGGTTTCCTTTCGGTGAAAAAAACTGGCAACTTTCAGCTCCTTTTTTTTTTCCCTCCCTGTTCAACAAAAACGATGTTAATGCTTTTTCTTGCTCCGAGGGTATTTACTGGAGGAAATGTAGTAGAAAGAATTTAGGTCACAGTGCCCCTGGACAGGATTCCTGTCCATGCTTCACTGATACATGAAGAAAAACAGTTGAGATTATTATTATTATTATATTCAAACCATTGTGTTAAAATATACCTATGTAGAAGTGGCATATTTAATAATTATACGGTGCATTTAACATTAGATAAGATAGAGAGGAATATCTGCCAAATCGGATCAACCAAAGAAAGGAAATATGACTTCCTGTTCTCCCCAGCAGAGGGCAGCATAGTTCCAGCACATTTGGCTCACTATCCTACAACCCTGAGGAGAATTTGTTCTTTTCATTCTAGCTGTCTCTTTGTGAGAGTGCTTCTGATAAACATCCCCCTCCATTCTAATCATCATGTCATTCCCTGGCTTTTAGTGCTCTGTCCGGCCTTCGCTCCATCCCCTGATGTTTTTCACATGAAAGACCTCTTTTGTGGTGCAGAATTAAAGTAGCACGAAGATAATACTCCCAATAACACGTAGATCCTGCCTGTCCTGCCTATCTGATGTGATTGCATGGCCTCAATAGAAGCTGAGTTGTTTGATGTTGCTCTCTCGTGCAGAGTTGGGGTGTACCGTTTATTGCTTTAGCCTTGCTACTGTCGTTTCAAGGACTAATTCTTAGTGACAATATTTCATGTTGCTGTACCTCGTCACTTCGAAACCTAGATGGAAAAGAAATGCATTCACCTGTAGAAGAACGGGATATGATGTAAAAGGACTATAGTGAAAATAAAAGTATGATTGTTGGAAAGAAATATTTGCTTTGCTAGTGAAGCTATTGTACTGTAAATAATGTGGTTCAAAGAGTTGTGAAGCAGTACGTTGCTGTGTTCTATTAGGTTGAGGCATACAGTCGGCTATTGTCTATTTTGTTAAACTCATACAAGTGTTTATGTAGCTTTCCATTTTATTTTGAAAATTCATAAATGTTCTACATAAATTGTTCCGTTTCTACCATTACATTCAATTGTTTTTGCTGTCTCCTGTGCGTTTAGGAGGACATGAACCTGAATGAAGAACGCAAAGCCCCTCTGCGTGGAAAGGAATTGAGCACCAGGCGAGAAATGGTGGTCCAGTACATCTCCGCCACTGCCAAATCTGTGAGTGTGAAAGTGAACCTAACGGCTGTTTTCATAGCCTGCGTGTGTACTGTGATATTGTTGTGGATTAGCTGAAGTTTAGTGACATGATCACAAGTCTCCTGAATGAGTTAACCTGATCCTCTGCTTTATGTCTGTCTTTGTCATTCGTTCTTGCACACTCACTTCTGTTGTTGTCTCTCTCACAAATCTTCATGCTTGAGTCACACATCTTTGATTGCAATTTTGATTCATTTCTTTCATTATTTTCCCCATCTGCCGTTGTAGGCTATCAGATTTAAATTGTACTCACTCACTTACTCAATACTGAGTGTATGGTCACAGCTTTTTCAGTCATGTGCTTGCATGCAAATTGTTGGATGTCCAGTTGTTTACTTGCATGGGAATTTGGTGGGTGTTGCCTTGCCTCATTTCTTGTTTATCCATTACAAACCATGGGTTCAGTCAACAGCAATTCTACAATAAAAAGCACAACCACCAAATACAGAAGTGAGGAAAAGCATGCATCTTAGGCTTTGATCAACACAAGGCTACGATGAATACAAATATACTACATAGGCCACATTACGGCCAGCTGCACAATACACTGCATAACAAAACAAATGTTTTATTATTTGTATTTAACCTTTATTTAACCAGATGAAAACATTGAGACAAAATCTAATTTACAATGCTGACCTGGCCAAAATCTCTGAGCGTCACTGTGGGTGAAGCGCCCTGCAAATGCTTTTCTGCAAGACAAAAACATAAAATGATGGACACTAGGTCTGCACGATTATTTGAATATTTCAAACTTTGCCGCCTGTGATACGCGTTTAAAATGGAGAACTCTTCTGTGTAATGGGCTGGCCAATATGGACCAAATTATTGCATTTAATCGTAAATCTGGATCCACACTCTTACCCAAAAACAGAAGTGAAATTAAAGAAGTTTGACCGTAGTCAATGAATGTCTGAGGCATTATCCTTTAGCCTTCTGAAGTTGTGGCCCACTGTGAGGGGTTCAGCACAGAGGAAAAGAGATTTCTGCCCCCATTGCTTCTCGAACCTAGCTCTCTCTTGACATCATCATTTATTACCTTCCTCATTGTTATGGTAATTAACTGGCATTATTGATAATGATGATTATCCAAGATGATTGAATTCCTCACAGGGCCCATTATGCTTTGTGAGCACTGATATTCTATTCAAATGAATAACGTAATCTATGTAGTCAAAGGACAGAGGACACAGTGTAATGTCTCTCTGCACCCTGATATCACATTTAATAGAAGTGACGGTAGGGGGATGGCTGAGTGTCAGGGATGATGTATATGTTCTTTCATTCAGTGCATACAGTCACACTAGAACACCTTTGAATAGATCGACTGTTAAACACTGATAATACTCAAGTGACCCAAAGGACAATTTAGCTGGATAAGTTTAGGGCACTGTTGTGAATGTTTTCTGATAATATAGTGACACTGCTACAACATACATTTGCAGAGAGAGACACTATAAGCACAACCTTTGATAAAATATAGGGCACACAGGAGGACGCGATTTAGTCCAGTTTCAAATAAGTACATCAGGTAATCCTACAAACAATAATGTTTTTTATTCAGTAAATACACCAACAAGAAGCCTCATTTCTTTAGAATGTAGTTACGTTTTGTTCACTTCAGAAAGATTGAACACATATTATTACAAATCCGAACAATGAAGAAAAGCAGGCAACTTGTAAAACTGTTCCTTATAATGATCCTGCTCTGTAGCATCTTGAATAGTGTGGTTTGGGTTTTTATAACTTCTTAATGTAAAGTGTATCCTCATAAATACAAAGTCCATGTATAGCCCAGAATCACACAGTATATTAAAGCTTAGTTTTTCAGCAAATATATCAGAAGTATGACATTTCTTAAAAAAAATACAAACCTTTTTTAAAGTATTTGAATGGCACGTTTAGTGTAAGCTTGGCCTCTCTAAGCAACTGCTCTGTTTTTGTCTTTCCTCCATACTTCATGTACTAAAGCATCCCATAACTCAAATGTATTTCTCTTTCAGGGTAAGGCATTATATGGGGCTAATGTTGCATTGAAAAACTAAATAGTGATGGATTTGGGTGTGGTGGATTTTGGACGTGTTGGGGTGTCTTGTTTTGTCATGGTGCCTTCACTGGTAATGCATTGCAGTCTTTTTTCTGAAATGGTATCCTGCATTGTGACTTACAGTTTTAGGGTCTTTGGAAGGGTTTAACACACTCATCTCAATTTCCTGTTTTGTTTCTGCTTGATGGTGTTTTGAGGTCCCAATTAGGGCTGCTCGATTATGGCAAAAATCATAATCTCGATTATTTGGGTCAATAATTGATATCACGATTATTAAAAACGATTTTCCATTTACTTTGAAAACATCAATTTATTGGAGAAAAAAATTGTGAACATTATGTTTTTAACAGTTGATTACCCTGAACGTTAAGTATAATTCAACTTAAAAACCAAAAAAAAAAAAAAATAATAATAATAATAGTTTTATTTCGATTACATTGTTTTCGTAATCGTTGCAAGCCATAATCGTAATTGCGATTTAAAATACGATTAATTGAGCAGCCCTAGTCCCAATAGAACATTTTGAAAGATAGGGATTTATTTAAGTAGTTTCCTTACAAACTCACCGAGTTCAATCTTCTCTATGCTGCCCTATTATGAGACTTTAAAAATGCTTGAAAGGTTTAAAACTGAAAGCATTTGTTGGAACATGAAGTATTTCCAAAAACTGTGTGGCCTTTTTCATGTTTGTCCTTGCAGACCTACTCAAATGAGCAAGGGCTTCGGTGCCCAACAAAAATCAACCTTATTCCTTTCTGTAACAAGAAGGGAAAACTGTAAGCTTGTTGAATAGCGTTAGGTGATTGAGGTTTCCTTTTAGATTATACAACTTTCTTTCATTTAATTATTCATGCCTGTTGAATGACCACAAGAGGCTATGTCTATCACACGATCTGTCTTTAAAGTTATTTGTATTTGGAAAAAAATACTGTTTACTTTTGCCTATCTCTCTAAAAGGAAAGTCAAATCTTTTCTTTCTCTATTTTCAAGGGAGAACTGCACATCGGTAGCTCAGTTAATTTGAACTGTTTCAATGGAATCCAGCTCTTTTGTTGGAGAGTGTTGTGGACGTCCTTGACCATTGGCTTTGCATGAACAGTTTCCTTTCTCTCACTCCATTTCTTGTTCTTTCTTCTCGTTGTAAATGTCTGCCAAAATCATTACATCTGCCACAATTCATCATCACACAAATATAATTGCTTATTTCTCCAAAAATTGGCTTCATCCACTGTCACTGAATAATTTCTTTCATGTCAAACATGCTGTGTCTGTGATGTAGGAAGCTTGCGATGGCAGGGTCTTGTGAGGGGGATTGTCCAGTGTTATTCATGCAGTTCTAATCAAAAGGATGTTTTTACTCCTCTTTTTTTTATAGGGCCTGGATTTTAGATCCTTTAGATCCTTTTTTTAAATGTTTGGTTTTGCAATAAGTTTCAAATAATCATTTGAGCAAAAGATTCACACACTTATGTAAAGTGACCTTTTTTTCCCTGTAGTAAAAAAATATACCTCATATCAAATCTTACTAGGTCGTTTTACCTTACTCAATGATTACTTTTTCTTTTAGGACAAGGTGTTACATTGTATTGAAAATAGAAAGTTGTGAAAGAAACTGTGCTTTTCCCCCTCGAGCTCCTCCCTGATTCTTGTCTGTGCACGCTCAAGATGGTGTCTGATATTTTGGTCAAGCTGCTCTCAAACAAGATTAAAAAATATGTATCCAATGTCCTCAACATCTGTGAAAGTGGAGTCACGTAAGTGTGACTCGTATCGAGGTGTCTAGCCTGCAGTATTACGGTAAAATAGTCCCAAGTGGTAGACAGTAACATGCTGCCTTCACTAGAAAGCAAATGAAATGTGGATTCACAGAATGGTTAGCAAGTAGTGTGTGCGAGATGGCACATGTAAAACAGACTTTATGGCTGTCATAAACTCTTAGTTGAGGGGTGGAGAGGGGTAATCAAGCATCAAATGGCCACAGAGTTGAAAAGTTGGAGAGTGACAATAAAAGAAATGGGAAGGGAGATAAGAGTTTGGAGGAGGCGCGGTTGGGAGGGGATGGAAGCGCCATATAAAGAAAGGGCTAGAAAACAAGGAGCTCAATATGTCTTGTAACTTCCTGCAATCAAAACACATTTTGTCAGGAAAATGTAGCAGAGAAAGAAGCGCTCAGTCACAGTATAGAATACATTTACTCTGCCGACAGACACCCTCCTACTGTGAAGCAAGGACCGCAGTTGCAGTAATAAAAAACAATCCTGCTCCCTGCCACTATTGACAGATAACAAGGTTAAACTCCGAGAATCCTGCTGCCTGCATAGGTTCACGGTAGCTCTGCCACACAATGTTGACACCGGAAACCAAACGTTATTGGCAGCTGATTGATATCGGCACAAGTAGTCCCTCTGCAGCCTCTTAATCTCGCCATTTTTTCTTAAAGGGAATACATGTGTGAATATACACCAGCCAGTCAGTTACATGGGGCCTGCTTATAACATAATACTTTTTGTGATGTACACGCTTTGCAAATTTGTTTTCCTTTATCCACATTTTCATTTACCTTATCTTATTATTAATTTGGAGATTTGAAAATTGCAGCTGCCAAACACAGACATTATCTTCAGTATGTGCCTATATTTTCAAATGTTTTCTTGTTGGCGTAAAGATTTGTGTTGTATAGTGTATTTGTGATCTCACACAAGCTACGCTAATGCCTCAACGTGTATTAGAAAAGATCCTTTGGCCTACTAATGATTGTGCTGTTTGTGTCTTTTTGCACATTAACCTTCTCCGCTGATCGCTGCATGCAGATAACTGGAAGCAAAGTTCCGGTAAGTAGCCCATTATTTATTTGGCTTCTGGATGTTGTTCCCTCTGTGAATCTGTCTTCATTCTCCCCCTTTAAATACACACATACACACACCACACACATACTATATCTTATTTGGGTAGATGTTGAGGGGAATGTTCCAAACTGTGTAAGTAAGGTCATTTTCATGTTTTGGATTTAAATGTTCAGCCCTCATATTGCTAGCGGGCTGTTATTTGGAAAGGCCATAACTTGCCAACACAATTCCTTCATGTAAATGGAAGCAGTTTCAAATGAGAGATTTTGAAATGAAACAGCCTGAAAAGAAGTGTGAGGCGTTTTGTTGTTATTTTTCGACATTAGCATTACATGTTGTGATGCCAACACAAATGGATAGCTTTTATACAAATACTCATAATCTGCAATCTAATCTTTTTATCAAACATGTTGCATCTAAATGGTTTTGAACTGTGTTTATTTATTTATATGAGACACAACTCGTTCGGAGTATATATATATATTATAAGGCTTTGAGCCCACAAGTACATCTTTTCTGCATCAAACATAAATATTAGACTATATTAGTTTAGTTAACATTTTCTTCACTGGCAATATATTTGAATTTGCTGTGAATAACTGTCTCTCTGTCTCAAAGAAATTGGAGCACAAGATTCATTTGACCAATGCAGTTTTTTGTTTTTGATGTTAATGCCATTTCACTTAATCCTCTCCTAGCGTACCAAAGACCTGTATAACCTTATATATATATATTAACACATTAAATGTGTTCTATACTTTTATAGGTTTAACTTTAAGTGTCTCCTCAATAATATTCCCCCACATATTTTCCCTCAAGATTCCATTAAGCAGAACCTTGTTAAAAAATGAGTTCAGATTTCTTTTTTATATAAAAGGAAACGCTGTTATTGGTTTAGCAAGTGTTAAATTGTCACTTTAAGTTGTATTCCATTTCCTTTTGAGAGCTTCTTAAGGTTTAAGTGGACTCTCAAGCTTAACAGGAATAAAGGGAAGGCTGAGTAGCACACTGTGACCTGGCCTCTGGCCTGCCAATACTCTCAGACAAAACCTTGTTCTTTGAGGCATTTCACAGAGACATTTTGTATCGATTGCATTTTCTCCTTTGTCAAACTGTTCTTTTGTGCTTGGTTATTTCAGTGAGAAGAGTGGGGTTTTCAGCTTGGCCTGTTAGGATGTGGACAGAGAAGCTGTCGATCAGGAGCAATAGCCACATTGTGTTCTGTAAATGGAATATGAGAGATTTATCCCAGCTTGTATCATGAATGCTGATCTGAGATGTAGAGTAGGGCTGAACGATTAATCCATTTTAAATCAAAATCGCGATTTGAAATGATGCAATTATCAAATCGCAAAGCCTGCGATTTTTTTTCTTTTTCTTTTTGTGTGTCAGTCATCCACACCAATCAGAAGTGCTGTGCTCCACATGTACCAGTCATTGTTAACCAATCAGAAGTGGCCCATGATAGAAGGTGATAGACAGATTGATCCAATCACCAGCCAAGTATTTTTGAAATAGTTTTCCAAATGGCTTCCAATGGAGCTTTCCTAGATGGTTTGGTGAAACAAACCATCTGAGTCAGGTTAGTAATGCTCCATGATATGTTTTACATCTATCACAGGGTGAATCTTAAACTGAAGCTTGACTTTAAAGCAACCCAACGGAAGTTTCATGTAAGTTTAGTTCTTTCACTCGTAGCTCGGGCTGCGGCTGTGCTAAAGACGGGAGCACGTTGATACGACCTTCCTAGCCGGAGTTATGGCCGCATTTTACAATAAACTTCTGTTGGGTCGTTTAAAAACAAATATCGCAAATCGCAATATCTGTCGCAATTAGATTATTTCCCCAAATCGTGCAGCCCTAATGTAGAGGAGGCCTACTTTTCAGCAGTTCTTCAAACCATGCCAGGGATCCTGGTTATCAAGAATTGTCTCTAACTCAATAGCAAACTGAAGCATTGGACTTGACCTTTGTAACCTCTGTGTCAATCCTGTAGCAGTAGTCCTCTGGCTTACATACTGAATGCTGCTGTGATTCCTGAAACCCCCCCCCCCCCCTTAAAGTGGAAAAAAGGAGGGCGTTTAGCCTGGTTAGCCGATTTTGGGCTACAGTTAGCTCCCTGCTTTGCTGACAGATTTTCATTTTCACACTGTCAGCGTGCGTCGGCGGGATAGAGTGCTCTCAGATGTGCTGGTAGCAGAGTGTTGGTTAGGATTGTCTATGGGGAACATACAACTGTAACTCTTCTGTCTCAGGCATGAAATCTCTCTGGCACTTTCCCCTCTCCCAGTAGAGAATGAGATGGGACTAGAAGACCGTGTGAATTGGCTGTAATCCAGTCCGACCAGCGTGTAAGTGTGCAACACAGCTATGTCTCATATGCTCCTTAAGCAAGATTGAAGGAAATATGAGCAGCACACCTACCTGGGTAACAGCATCCCGCAGTTAGACTCGTACAGACAAGTTGGACGACACACCTCTTCTTTTGCAGTTCTGCTGCAGACGCCTATTGATTACTACGGTGCTTTTATAGCTTCAGTCTCTGTAAAGATTGGCCTGATTTACGTCACAAGTCAAGGGCCACGCTGTAACAATCCATCAATGACTCCTGCAGTGCTACTGTGAGAGCAGACTTCTGTCTCTCTGCACAGACATTGACAGGTTCTGCAGTTCAGATGGAATGCTGCTGAGACTATGAGTGCCGGAGCACACATGAGCGGGAAAAAGGGTGTGAGCTCCATGTGCTGAAAAGCAGCAATCTCCAGACCATAGGGAGGTGATCAATATCTGTATTACTGGACAGTTGACTGCTTATATCCATGGTAACATGCTGGTCAACTCTGAGATGTCAGGCAGTGATGGTTAGTGCGGTTGTGTAAACCTGTGCATCTCTGTGTATAGCTCTCAGTATGTGAGTTTGACAAAATAGCCAAACAAACCCCCGACCTGAGAGAATAGATCCAATGGTCTGCTGGCTGTTCTCTAACTGATATAGCTTTACGGAAGGCTGTAGTTTTCTCCAAGATTATAATGCATCTTTAAAGCTGCCAAGAACATGTTTTAACATCAACCTTTTTTCCTGACGTATGGTTGTATAATGATGTCTCCCAATTAAAAAGGTTCTTTACAATACTGAGTACAGATGTGACATAAGGCGGAAATCGTGAGAACATAAAGATTGCGAAAATAACATAACATCTAAGGTCTAACATTTGTTTGTCATTGAATGTAGCTGAGAATGACTACAAGGCTACATTCGTGTTCATTAATTGAATGCCACCTTGAAATGTTTTTCTCATTATCGAGTTGAGATGAAGAATTTAATTGACTGAAAATGAATGTGAGGTATTTGTATCCCACTATTGATTTTTTCAAATGTATCAAATATTCTCTTAGCTTAGACAAAAAGACAAATTCCTATCAAAAGCATTTACAGTTCATGGAATCTCAAAAATCCAAAGTTAAAAATATATTTAGAAAAAGTAGAATCTAACATTTTATAAATATTCATGATAAAATGTATGTTTATTTTGTTACCTATGTGTAACTGCTGATGATTTACTGAATGTATTATTACCGGTACATAAGTAGTTATAGATTGCAAAGCATCCAGATGAGAAACGAGGGAGACAGAAAGAGAGAGTTGCCTTGATAGGACACGCAGACATCTGGCTCCTCTTTAACTCCTATCAAGTGCTCGTTCACTATGCCAGGAGTGCTTACAAAGGACCTACAAAAAAAAAAGAAATATGGTGAGCCTGAAAGGAAATCAAGGCACCCTTCCTCTTTTATTCCCCTCTTTACCTTTTAAAACCAAATACCTCAAAAGACTGTTTTGTTTCAAACAAGCCATTAAACTGGGTGCTGAGGGTTGAGCAGATTTGATGTGGCACATGTCCTTGGTGCTTAAAAAGAACGGCAATGAAACATTATTCAATAGCATGTGCCTCCCATGCCCTGAGCCAGTGTTCTCCATAGATTCTATCTTAAATTAAGATCAAGGAAACATGCTCTCAAGGGGACTGTTTGAATAAGATGTTTATTTGATTGTCTGAAAGCCCATTTCAGAGTTCATCTGATGGACATAAAAAGTTGTCTGGGAGTGAGATGATGAGGATGAATTAATTAAATTATTTTGAATACCGTATCTGAAAATCTGTAGTCGGGTGTTTTTAATAGATATCAAATATTTGCTGTTTCACCTACTCAAATGCTTTTTTTTCTTCAGGTATAATCAGATGGGAATTCTATTTCAAGGTACCTTCCTGTAATAGGAGGTTTTAGAGTGCGGTCATGTGTAGGTTAACACCTCCATGCTGGTGGAATAACCAATACCTTAGTACTCAGAATTGGGTATGGTGGCGCCGAGTGTTCAAATGTACTTGTTTTTATGCCAACTGTAAAAAACATGTGGCAAGATTTTAAGTAATAACATTTTAAAGCAGTTTAACACAAATAGTATCCCCCGCAGTTGTTGCCATTGTAATGAATTAATTTAATCTATGTCATCTTATTCTACCTTGGTTGTCAGCTTCTAGATTTGGTACACAGCCATTCCTGTTTGTTGGAGCAACAACCAGGGCCAATTGTTTTAGTGAAAGGGAAGTTTACTTTCCAGTTGCCTGAGCGTAATTGTATTACTTCAAGATTTAAGTTCCTCATTGTTTTTTAAAACCCTTTATATTGTAAGGGCCATCAGTCGTATTGCAGTTGCCTAGAGCACCCCAGGATGACCGTTTTATTTAGGATTATAACATCTCTCTAAATACTCCTAGAAGTCGTATTGGACTAGGTGAAGCAACACATTTTGATTAACAGTGCCTTACTGCTGCAATAAGCTTCATTGTGCAGGTTTTAATGTGTACATGATTTCAAAATGAATGTTGCTAGTTTCTTCTAAGTGGCTCTTCTTCAGGTGTTCACAGTTGGATTTACCGTTGTCCTTGCTGTAGAAGAGTCACAAGTTTAGCTGTGTCAGACGGATG